AAACATCTCGTCAGGAGATTTAGGGTAAAAGAGAGAAACTTACGAAAAGAGGAAACAACTCAGGTCGGGATCGTCATCCCGTCAATTGGTGTCTCAAGTCGGAAGTCAGGAGACTGCCAACCTCCACCAACCCACAACCACTCATCCTGGAAGCCATGAAGTGTCTCAGGGATTCCTGTAATCAGTTGCCCCGTCTTTAAGTCGTACTGTGGCCTCGCCGCGCAGAAAAAACAACCGGTTGGTGGGACTCCCTCGCGCTCCCTACTCCTCTTGAAGTGAAATATACTTCTCAACTCATCAATCGTTGGGAATGGTAGTTTTTTTCTGTGCCAGAAGGACCATGATTCCTATGATCTTCTTCCAACTATTGGGAGTCACTTGACTAAGGCTAAGACCTCAATCACGCAAGTAATCGGTGATCACGTTGTCTAGGGAAAACCTCAAACCCGACCTTAGGCTCTTGGCGAAAATCCCTACACAACCAGGGGGAGGATAATGGATTCTTTCTCCCGGATAAGGATCAAAGATCCTAACTGAGGAGGGAATCCGCACCGACTCGCGCAACAGAACCACGTTGGCATCCGTCATAATGCTGGGCTCCCATAAAAATAATACATCGTTATCGGGCCATCGCCGAGCAGGACGACTCCAATATCCCGATTTGACAGAAATGTCTCTTTCCACTTCGGCGTCTCCCTCGATGTTGTTCTTTTGGATATCCAGACGCTCGACGAAAACGGGGTCCCATCGGTAATAATCCCCCATTAACTCCATCAATTCATCGTCTAGTTCCATATCAGACACGGTTCAACTGCTGCTTAGTTCTCCTTGCTCACTGCTCACCGCCATAACCACGGGCAGAGAAAAATAAAAAGAAATTAAGAAATCGAAAGATAAGATTAGGGCTTACCGAAAACTTGGGTGAACTCTTAAGGGATTTCGTGAGTCGTTGAAGAAAGAGGGAAGGACGAGAAAGTTTGATAACAGAAGTGTTCGAGAAATCAATGATATGAATGAGTTGTTTAGATGGATTTTGCGAACCAATACCACGGCTATATATATATGTATGTGATGTTTTCCGACCGTTGGGATGAAAACGTCTAAGTAACCGTTGTGTCTTTTGGAGGAAACCTCCTTAATCCCATCATAAATGTTCGAAACTTAATCGTAAGCGTACACGTGTCCCAAAAACTGCCATGATTCCCGGCCGTCATTTATGGTACGTGTCTCTTGAGAGGAGTAGTGGGGAAGACACGTTCATAGCATCTGGAAACTGCCTAGTAACCGCTTCTTAATTTCATACTCGTCAAGTGATCGCGAAAATGCGAAATTCTCATATAAGGAAATCACCTCAGTATACTCTCAGAAGTTCTGCGAATGACTTCAGAGCTATAGCTGGTCGAGGTGAAAGTGTCATTAAGAAGTACTCTTGTCTGCATACTCCTTAATGACAAGGGCCTCTATGTTAATACCAAAACCGGATTCCGCAGATTAAGGGCGTTTTCGAGTGAATTTAAGAAGAATTCAGAGTTAATTACTAGAAGAACGAGGTGCGATGGACATCCTCGGTATCATCTCGAGGTGCGATGGAGATCCTCGGTATCATCTCGATAACTAATCGGCATCTCGGTGTTACCACCTCGGTTTCCAAGACAAACAAAGCAGGCTCCCAGATCGCCCCAGCATTGAACAAGCGACCTCGGGATTGCCATCTCGATTCTAAAAGGGTTCTTTGGGAAGGACGTCGCAGGTTACAGACCTGTAGGACAACTGATGTCCAGAGAAATCCGACCTCGTCCCGACAGAAGTGACGTCTGTCACTCAGTAAGAGGGACACCCATGCTCTCATCATTACCTACAAAGTGTGCTAACGTCATTGCCGCCCGTAAAACATCAAATCCGCATTAAATACAGCCGACTTCTCTTAGAATTTGTGCCAGACGTAACTATAAATAGCAACATTAAAATCGATACGATGGACCACGACCAACACATTAAATTCACGCATTTATTACCTCGACTTCTTCTGTTTCCGACCTCCTGTACTAAAATACCGACTTGCTCGAAACTGTAACCGACCTCATAAAATTCAATAAAAATCATATTTTCTGCAATTCTCGTTATGTTTTAAATCTTAATTACGTTGATTTAATCCGTTTATCAACACGGGGCGGGCCAAAATGGCCCGCATTTCTACGGGCTGGGAAATCTATGGCCCGTAGCCCGCCCTTATTAGCCCGCGGCCAAATCGGCCCGCCCGTGGGTTTTTTGGTATTATGCACTCTTATATACTTTTTGGTTTGTTTATCCTTATATTTACTATTATATTAATAAACTAGTAAGGCTTCATGTGTAATGATGTTAAATATTTGTCATCCAGTTTTTATTTTTATTTTTTTATGAATAGTTATAGAAGTAAAATAAGAAATACTAAATTTAAATAATATAAAATTAACAAATAAATAAATAATAAAAAAGAGGCTAGACCGCGGGCCAGCCCGCTTTAGACCGCGGGCCGAACGGGGTGGGCCAAATAGGCCCGCGATTGAATGGGCTGGCCAAGCAAAGGCCCAAGCCCGTCCATTTAGGCAGACGGACGGGCCAGCCCGCGGGCCATGGCCCATTTAGGCGGACAGACGGGCTAGCCCGTGGGCCATGGCCCGTTTTAACAGTGCTAGGTATATGGCACATTGAGTACTACAATTAAACATTTTGACGCAATTTAGGTCCTTTGACCGTCAAAATTTGGGATTTTTTGTCGAAAATTGCATGTGACGACCACATGACTCATTTTCAATCCATTAATGCTCACGTGGCCTACAAACCCCATCGACGTGGATAANNNCAAAAAAAAAAAACTACAACGAAATAGCTTAAGGTATCATCAATAAAGTGATACTTAATAGCAAGGTTCTGAAAACCGAATCGGTCATCGAATCGGTGAAGCTAGTGGCTCGATGGACTAATGGTCGAACCAGTCAAACAGTTTTAATTAATATATACTTTTATTCATTTTTTTATGTATAATATATAATTTTATATCTTTTTATCATTAATTTGTTAGTATATAATGATATTTTTATAAATGAATAAAGAAAAATAAATAAATACTCATGCATATTCTAATTATTTTAGCTACCATGCTTGATTCCAAGTGTAGGCTTATAATCAATATGTATTATTTCTTTATGTTACTTTTTTTTTATTTTTTAGAAAATAATTTTTCGATGGTTTTGGGCATGACAACATTCTTTAAGAACACTTTGAATGTTTTATTTATTTTTGCAAGTAAGGCTCAATAAGGCAAAAGACCCAATATTGTCACCAAGCATTATCAAAACAATTAAATTAACAAAGAATTCAGCTACATGGCCCAAAATATTCAGCTTACAAAAGTTACAAAGCAATTGCAGTTAAGCCACAAACAAAAACTTTCAGCTATTTAAATGAATGTTGCTACCTGCACAAGCAAAGCGCACCACTGGACCGCAATGTCGCATCAACCGGTCCCGGTTTAACGTTTTTACCTGTTTTTGACCGATTCAAACGGTTATTGACCGGTTTTGCTCCCCAGCGGTTTCATGCCTCAAACCGGACCAGTGTACTGGCCGGTTCCCGGTTCAACCGGTCGATTCGATGTGCGAGAGCACATCAATGTTTATAGTATAAGTATATTTATACTCCCATAAGAATTTATGAAAATCAATTAGTCATAATTTCTCTCATTTTATTTTATAGTATAAGTATATTTATACTCCTATATGAATTTATGAAAATTAATTGAGGAAAAAACTACTAGCAACCTATACTTTTATCAGTTTTACACTTTGCAACCTAAACTAAATTTCATAACAAATGACAACCCATACTACTTAAAAAATCACAGTTTGCAACCTACACTAAATTTTGTAGCAAATAATAATTTTTACTATTTGAAAACTATACTAAATTTCGTAGAAAATAAAATTTTTATAATTTGAAAAATTGTAGTGTGTAATTGATTTAATAATAAAGCACATCTTGTCATACAAGTATATAAATATAAATTTGATAGATTCATTTTTAGCCCCTCTCACATTGTTAAGCCAAATTCGAAGAGTGTTTTATTGTAAGCAAACTTATATCAATTTAATGGATGCATTTGTAGCTCATCTTCACATTGTTAAGCAAATTGATAGTATTACAGACGTAGCCATCGATGCACGTTATTACCGATGAGAACAATAATGTCGACGGTATTATGGAAGTAGCAAATATAATATTATAATATATATATATATATATTAAAATTTATATATATTAAAATTGAATAAGATTAAATTAAGACTTTCAATTAAAGTTTTAAATTTACATGTTAAGGGTTGACTTTTTTTAAAAAAAAAAAATATTGCATAATATTTTTGTTTAATGATCAGTACTTTCATACAGTACAACTCATGTATAATTTGATACTTCATTAATTTAGTGTTTTCTATGTATTTATACAAGATTATTGGTTGAGAATCGGCATTACTAATCGATACTTTACATTATTTTATTCCTTGTTCAAATATTAATGGATTTGTGTTCTTAAAATTTTTACTCTATTTCCACGAGTAGGAGCTTATTCTCGAATATATTTGGATATATGCCTTTTATTTTCTTATTTTTCGTGTATTCCGACATGTTTTCTAGCTTCAAAATAATTGAAGATTGTAAACTAGGTTCTTTTTAATAGTAGGAGTTGTTATTTGCTATGGAACATAGTTTAAATTGCAAACTGTGAATTTTCAAATAGTGCGGGTTGCTAATTACTATAAATTTAAGTTTAGGTTGTAAAATGTAAAAAAATATGAAAGTATAGGTTGCAAATAATATTTTTCCAAAATTAATTAGTTATAATTTCTCTCAGCCTTGATTCAAGTAAAAAAATTTGTCATGTCCCAGTAAGTACAAACTACGAGTCCTACTTTCTTCATCGGACTGTTTTGCCCATAGGGGTACTTCAGTAAATTCCATCCCGTTCTTCGAATATTACAACCAAGCACTCGATTCCTCTACGTGTAGTACAGCTTCTGCCACCAAATCTCCCTTTCTTTTCTCTCTCTCCAAACATTTATTTGAGCTTTCAATTTTTCCCCTCTCTCGACCGCCTTTTGTATTTTTCACTCTCCCGCTCGCTCTAGGGTTTTCTTTTGCTTAACCGCGTCAGCTTTTGGAGAAAAATAAATTATCCGAAAAAGGTTTGCAGCATTAGTTTTAGAAAATCACAATCAGAATCGGAAGATTTATTAATATTCGTTTCTCTTCAGTGGACCAAGAGTTCGATTGGCCGACATTCAAGTTTTGATCATTCATCTGCTTTCTGGGTCAGCCATGGCTTGATTTGCTCTTCGTGCTAAAGGGTACTTCATATTTTAATCATTTGTTTATCTTTTTTGTGTGCGTGTTTGTCGTTGGTTGTTTGACTATTCGCGTGCTTGTAATATATTGTAATAGGTAAACCCACATGTTTAGATTTTTCGTTTTTTCTTGGAGTAATCATGTCTTTTTTTTAAGGTCAAAATCACTGTTGGGTTTCGACTTTGGGTATATTTATGGTGGCATTTTTATTTATCATTAAGGAGTTTTGTTGTTTGGGTGGATGTCTTGAGGATTAGTAAAGTTGCTAACATTGTAGTTCGCTTACTCTTCCGTTTTATTGCAGTGATTCTGGTGTTGAATTTGATTTTTTGTGGTGTTCTATGTGTCTTCTTGCGTTCTTGATGGATTCTGCCCAACAAAGTTTTCTTCTTGGTTCTATGTGTTGCAGAACCATTTCGGACTTGGTTCTTTAATAAAGATTTCTTTTCTTAATAATAGGGCAATATGAGGGATAATAAGTTGTTATCCTTAATTTAAAGCATCACCATTACAAGGAATGTAATTCAAACTCAGAACTTCCCTTTGCAACTTACAAACGTACAATTGTCACTTGTGTGAATCTAAATTGTGCACAATCAATAACAGAAAAAGTTATGTAAATCCAGCTAGGGTACCATTTTGGATATGTGACTATTTTCTTGGCAATGTGGTGAATCACAGAGGCAAGATTAAGTATCCCTATCTCTCTGTAGGGTGGGCAAGTCCTGGGATGGAAATGTAAAACTTTCCTGATCAAGGACTTGCTGGTATGTATGTAGCAGTTTTCACCATTAGCTTGATGCTTAGTGATCCTTTTCATCTATTATTTTGCCTTGAATGATATACTGGGGTGGTGTTTGCCTAGTTTACTGATTGTTTATATAATCTGCCGGGGGATTTGGGTTAAGGATAATAAGCAGATTACTTATACTATATTTTTTCATTTGTATTGACACTACCCTATATTGTTTCATGGTATTGATATTGGCAATTTATTTTTACCAGATTCAATAAATTGACTCCAAGCAACAATTTCCGGGTCAAAATTGAACAAATTTGAAGCCATGTATAATGAAGGAATCCCAGAGTACCTTATCGACCAGGGATTATATTATCCTACCGCTGCCAACTATGGATATTTCGGCACAGGTAATAATCTATATATTCAACGTTCCATATTTCGGCACAGGTAATAAACTTATAAGCTCAGCTGTGTCGTTGTGAATGTAAGAATCAGCTGATATGATGTTACCTTCTGCCTTTGGTAGGATTTGAATCATCAGGTAACTGGGAAGACCCCCATAGCACTTTTGGTCTGGATGGTCAAGAAATCCATTATACCGTGAGTCCGATTCCAACGAATTCTATATATACTTTTTAATATTTATCAGATTTGGGATACTAAATCAGAACCTTTTCTTGTAGGGGGCAATAAACGAGGGTCTGCCGTACATTTATTTTGCAACCCAGGGATATGGATACGAACAGTACCATTATAACCCATACAATCCTTATATTCCTGGTGCTATGGTAGGAGTTGAAGGGTCCAGTGTAGCTCCTCAACAATATTATGCAGTCCCGTCATATGAAAACTCAGTGCCATCACCTGCTTATGCTCCTGTTCTTCAGTCGAGCGCTGGCGCTGTTTCAAACACGATATCCAATTCGTTTATTGATAATGGCACACCCATTAATCACGCTGATGGTCTAGTTGCTAAACACAATCTGCGCTCGGATGCTCCTAATGCCTCTGTCAGGATGACATCCGAAGGACATAGAGGTAATAATGCTGCATCAGGCAAGCAGGCTGTGCCGAATATTACTTCTGCTAAATTGGGTAGTCAACCACCATCACAAATTGGCCAGGTAAGAACCTTATAGTTGATAGTTCACTCATTTTTGCAGATTGTTATCTGATATTTGCTGAGCATGTCCCTTTCTCTTTATATTTTGTCGTGTAGGTTAGAGGTCCTCAAGGCACTGAAATTGGTGTACATGGGAAGGCTGCTTCATTGGGTGATAGTCAACCAAAGAGTGCATTTACTTCTGTCAATGGGTTATCATCCAGTTTTGAATCAAGGATTCCTAGCTCAGGCTCTGTACATAAAGTTAAGCCCAAGATACCTTATGGTGGTGTCCGTGAGGAAGAAAGAGTCGGATTTGGAACATTGGTCGAGCAAAATCCGGGGCCAAGACCAGTCAAACCGAAGACTCAGATTGTTGTTGAGGCCCTCACAACTAGGGCTGGAAATCCCGATGCCCATGGAAACATCACCATCTTTCCAGATGACTATAACAGAGCAGATTTTCCCGTTGAGTACAGAAATGCAAAGTTCTTTGTGATCAAGTCTTACAGCGAGGATGATGTGCATAAAAGCATAAAGTATAATGTATGGTCATCTACACCCAACGGAAACAAGAAGCTTTATGCTGCGTATGAAGATGCACAGAAAATAGCAGCAGGAGATCCTAGGGGCTGTCCTATCTTCCTCTTCTTTTCGGTATGCATCTCATTTTTGCTTCTATTCTTTTAAGCACCCTTATGATGGCTCTGAATTATTATTATTATTATTATTATTANGGCTTCTGCTAAAATGCACGTGGATTTTCTAAAGACACCGCCGCCACCCAATGAGCTGGACATATCTTTCTATTTTAATACCATTTTTTATTCATTTTTAGTAGTCTTTTCCTTTCCTGGTAAAGATATTGCTTCCTAAATGTACTTTCCTTAGTGCTTAGTGTATGGTCTTAATTTTGTGTATTGTTATCTCGATAATATCTACCTAGCACAACTAAATGAAATTAAAGTATACATGAACGAGACAATTTGGTGTTATTATTATTATTATTATTATTATTATTATTATTATTAGTATTAGTATTAGTATTAGTATTAGTATTAGTATTAGTACTACTACTACTACTACTACTACTACTACTACTACTACTACTACTACTATTACTATTACTATTACTATTACTACTACTCAAAAGTATATTTTTTTCCCCTTCTTGGTTGTTATTTGTTCATCTTTAATCATTGCTGCTCCTTTGTCTTTTCTTGTACACTACAGGTCAATGCTAGTGGCCAGTTCTGTGGTATGGCGGAGATGATTGGTCCCGTGGACTTCCACCGGGATATGGATTTCTGGCAGCAAGATAAATGGAGTGGTAGCTTCCCCGTGAAGTGGCACATAATAAAAGACTTGCCAAATCCCCATTTTCGGCACATCATACTAGAGAACAACGAGCACAAGCCGGTGACTAACAGCAGGGACACACAAGAGGTATCATAAGGATTTTTTTCCCATACGCATCAATTCTTTATTCCCTGGATTATCTGTTGTAACTATTACTTTAATTATTATTTTTAGATACCTTACAAGAAAGGTCTGGATATGCTGAGGATATACAAAAACCACACTTCAAGGACATCCTTGCTCGACGACTTCATGTATTATGAGAACAGGCAACGGATCATGCTGGAGGAGCGGGCCAGGCTAATTCGTAAAAGCTATGAGAACCCTTATCTTGTCTCGCTACTCGATCCTCCTCGCAAGCTTCAGCCTGTTAACAGTCCTCCTAATGGAAGCATGAATTCTACCAGAAATGGTCCTTCCACTCTGACTGTTGTGAACAAAAGCAATGTTCCAGGGGATGCTGGATTAGAGTTGTCAACCAAGAAGCAATTGTTTGATGCTAATGCTGACTCGAAAGCGGTTGATGGGTTGAAAATGAGTTCGCTGAGTATACGTTCAGATGAGGGAGAGTCTGGAAGTCGCCCATCATCTGGTGCTGTAGATTCTAAGGCATCTGCTAAAACTGGGCCTATTGACATTGTCACCATAGGGTCAATGCCAGTCAATGTCAACATCAGTGGGTCTTCTGGTATTTTGACGGTTGGGACAATTCCACTCGACCCCAGAGCTCTTCTGCGTGATTAGGTTTGATGATGGGGAATCTTTTTTTTTTTCTTTTTTATTTATAAATTTGCGGTGCATGATTGGTGAATTTGGATGTGCTAACATTTTTTTTGAGGGGGCGTTGAATGATTTTGGGAAGTTCGCTGGGTGAAGTCCCAGCCGTCTTCTTGTTTACGTGAGAGCATGCATATATATGATAGGTCTGCTGTTTTGGGATACAATGGTGCAACTTGGTGGGATTTTGAAGACAATGTTTGATTGTTTTTTTCTCATTTTCTGTGAGGGAGAGGTTTTTGGGTCTATGAGGTTGTCTGACTCATTGGCTTTCCATGTAACTTTACTTTGTTATGGCTTTATTTATGACTTACAAAAATTGATATGAAGGGAAGGTAGAAAAAAAAATGTCAAATATTGTATTCGTAAAGTTTTTGGACTTGTTTTCTTTAAGAAAAATTAAATGTGTTGGATGAGAAAGAGTGATTTGTAAACGTAGCATTTCTTGTTGACCTCTTTGCCGAATTACTATTAGTGTGGCATAAGGAAAGTGAACAACGCTTTTCTTAGGATCAGTTGTAGTTTTTGTTGCTACATTCTTGTTAAAGAAATATTAGTTACAGCACTGTTGGAAACATATAAATCCGAGACCTGCAGCAGCACACACTTACGGTTGGTCACATGAGATATGGTGCAATTGACTACAAATTAAAATTGATGCGAGAATCGGGAAAGGAAGGTGCAGTATCACGGAGATGAAACGTATCATATGAGGGTGAACTTAGTTAGATGCACCTTAATGAGGTTTCGTTTCAAAATCAATTGGTGATGGCAAAAGTAGCCCACTAGGCTAATTTTTCCTACAGAATCAATGTGGGACAACTCATAAGTAATATTCCGACACGCCTTGTCATTTTTGAGTCATTCATAAGTCCAAACCCATAGTAGTTCGAGTAGAAGAGTAAGCCCAAACCCAAAGAAGGTCAGGTAGGATATAGACCCAAGTTGGAGCTGACCTGGCTTCTTCATAAGCCTAAACCTAGGGCAGATTCGGTAGAGGAGTAAGCCCAAACCCAAAGCAAGTCGGGTAGGATATAGACCTAGGTTAGAGTTGGCCTGACTCTAATACCATGTGAGAATGGAGAGAAGGGAGTGCGGTCCCACGCAGGTATGAAGCGCATCATAAAAAGGTGAGTCTAGGTGCACCTTAGTGAGGTTCCATCCCAAAATAATTAATGATGGGAGGAGTAGCCCACTAGGCTTATAAGCTAGGATTATTCTCTCTATAGAATCAATGTGGGAGAACTCACAAGTGATATTTCAACAATTAATTTTGATTGACATGATAAATTTTTACATATTTTAACTCAAAATCTAATTCGAATTTAATCCAATCCAACTATCATCAATATTATTAATATAATTAAATAATATCAATCATCTTCTTCACACATCAACTTTAATTCACTATTCATCTACTCATATTTATAATTAACTATGATTCACAATAAACTCTCTTCTACTTTTATATCACATCAGCTTTAAGCATTATATTTTAAATATTATTTAAATGTAACTCAAAATCTCACTCAATTATTCAAAATTAACATATTTTAACCAATAAATCAAATCAAAATCGATTTTATTTATATCCAATCGCCCCTTATAGTGATATCAATTGATCAAATATATTCAACTTATCCTATTCCGAAATTACAAAACTTCGATTCACATAAATTCCACTGACAAGCAATCTGAACTTTTTGACAAAACTATTCAAAAATTCATTTTTCAAATGAGAATAATACCATGACTATTAGTGGTGTAATTGAGCCGATAAACAAGCTCGAGTTCGCTCGTTTATCAATATTAGTGAATCAAACTAGAGAAAATTACATAAATATTCATATTTCGATCTCTAATGGGATAGGTTAAACAAGTTTTAAACGAACTTGAGTTAAACAAGCCTACCTAAACAAATTGAGCCGAGTTCACGTAAGTGCAACTGTAATATGTATGCGACCATGTATATTTTTGGGAATATATGATTACACAAAGTAATGTGATTCAAGATCATTCCGGAAATGTTGACTGTCTATACTCTTCTTGATTAATTTCGAAAAAATTAGATGGTAATGATATTTGCATATATACCAAACTTATCCGGTTTAATAAAGAATATACCGAATTTTAAAATGAGTATTAATTTGATATAAATGACATACTCTCTCATCTCTCATTTATCTTTTCTTAGTTTTTCTCCTCCTTACTTTCTCATCGGTTTTTCTTATTCTTCTCGTCTCCCTAATTTTCCATTTCTCTCCTCTCTCTTTGCTTTATTCCATTCCATTTAAATTTAACCAATTTTTACTGTAAATTTATATCTAGTTTTTTTTTTTTTTCAATTTATTATAGGTTTATAAACTAATACAAGAATACATATTCTAACTTTATACATAATTTATTTTCAGTTTATTATAGTTTTAGGAAAATGCTCACATGCCCACGGTAGGCACATGTTAATATGTCCACCGACTTATGTGGCATGCACACATTGGTGATGTATTTTTTTTAACATATTAACATCACCAATGTGTGCATGCCACATTAGCGGTGGGCATATTAACATGTGTCCACCGTGGGCATGTGAGCATTTCCCTATAGTTTTATAAATCAATACTCTTATACATACTAAAACCAAAAATCAATTCACAAAAAGTACTCTACAACTAAAACATAAATCACGACATAACTAAAATAAAAACGAAAAAAGCAATTAATATATACAACCATGAGAAATATCCAAAACAACATATACAATAATAATAAAAAAAAAAAAATTGTTCAATTGTCGTCTCAGTTTCATCGTCAACAAAAAAATTTGCTAATATTCCAAATATAAACTATAAATACACATCAAATAAACATTGAAACTGATCCGATATGAACTATGCACATGCCGTCACTATTCACAAGCAGGATTTCTGTCACGTCACTGAGACTACACCGCAATCCAAAACCGACCGAAGTCAGTCGCTCTGCCCGAAAGATCACTGCCTTTTTTAGCTCGAGTCAGAGATCCGTTCAACCGCCATTGGCCGATGCCTCAACCACGGACGTTGCTCGCTCCCCATCGGCTAGCCATAGTCATCAGTCTGCCATCAGCATCTTGTTGCGGGCATCGCATCGTGAGCCGCCATACGCCCAAAGCTGCTTATTGTTGTCCTCCGGTTTCGGCTGCCGCCACCACCGACGGAGGAGTGAGGTGTGTGGTTTGTGTCATGGGGAAAAGTCAAAAAATAAAAAAGGGAATAAATTGATAAAGACAAAGAATAAGGAAAAAAAGTGAAGTTGAGAAAGGAGTATTGTCTCTAGAATGAAAAAAAGAAGAAAGAAGAAGGAAGAAAATAGAGGAAAAAGAGAATAAAAGGAAGTGCAAAGAAAGTGACATGAGGTAGAAGGAGAAGAATAGCGAAAGAGGAAGGGGGGAAAGAGGGGGAGGACAGAGTTGATTATTTATTGTGGTTTTTAAAAAATATTAGTATAATTCTAAATAAAAATCTATATATATTGAAAGAGATTGATGGAAAATTCATTTGTGGAAAGTTCATAAAAAAAATGAGTCAAAGCCTTTGACTTACTTATTTTGGAAATCCGATTTAAATTTAAATTTTGAATGACTTTTGATCTTCACGTGTTGAAATCCGTATGGTACAAATTTGAATTACTTATTTATGGTACATATTTCTTATGAAAAATTTGCTTCAAATTCGGTGTCATCTATAAAGGATTATATTACTTATTTATTTGGATTACTCTGACGTTCTTAATTGCTGATTGTTCGATCGGGTGTAGTAAAACAAAATTGGGCTTACATAATTGAGGCACTGGAGCTGATTTGAGCTGGATATTTTTGGTTTATTCTGCCAAAATTTTAATTTATTTGGGTTGATTTTAATGGACCCATTTTAGTGAAAAATAAAGGGCCGGTTCACTAATGTAAATGAGCCAAAATTTGTTTTTTTTTTTCAATAAGTCTTGGGTTGCATTATTTTTATTACTGGCCCAATTTTTTTGTACAATTATATGTTTAGTAAATTTGATCCGATGTTTTATATAATTGTGTTGCCTTACAATATTTATATACGCTGCATAACATGCTGTCCAATATATGGATTTTATGTGCTTAATAAAAAAAAATGTGCAGTTATTTATCCAAATTATATTTTCATTCTTAATTAGTATTTGTTTGATTAATATGAAATAAATGTTGATAGTTTATTGTTTTTATTAACAATGTTATTAATTTTGTAATTTTTTTTAAATTCTCTTTATGTTTATAAATTGATTCAAAATAATATGTTATTTGGACTTCACTTATATAGGTATTATGGATTCCGATTTGCGCAGTGGATCAACTGTTAGTAAACAACAAATGAGAAGTGGAGCGGGCAGTTCATCAAATGCTTCAAATCATATGCCCTTGACTGATATTACAAATGGCATTGCATTTATATTTAAGTTATATATAGATCAAGATATTCTCACCTTCTATTTTATGATATTTTATTGTTTACTTTAATATTTTTATTTAAATAAACAGGTCAATGTATATATCGTGATAAAAACACAAATAATTCTAATATTCTTGGATTAGAAAGTGATATAGCCCTATTGATGGACCGGCGACTAAGTATAAGGAGGTCTCGGTGACTAAGTATGAGGAGGTCTTAGTGACTAACTATAAGAAGATCTCGGTGACTAAGTATAAGGAGGTCGAGGTGACTAAGTATAAGTAGGTCGAGGTGACTAAATATAAGGAGGTCGAGGTATTCTGAGACATATAGGGAGTTGGAGGTTACTGGGACTACATATAGACACAACTCGAGTGTCTAAAGAATGGATAAGAAGGAATCTGAGGATGACTCAGTATGCTTTGGAAAAGGATATGATTAAACCCTGGCAGCTCGAGCAGGCTGGCCGAGGCAATTCAGCCATGCAAATTCGGGCAGGTATTATTCATATAAAAAGGGACTGAGGTACAATCCTAAATCTTCTTCCACACTTCACATTCTCCATACATTCTATACCGCTCTAAGATTACAGAGCATCACCATCTTCTTCCTTGTGCTGACTTAAACATTGGAGGACAAGGCAATATTAGCACCGACACTAGATGTTGTTGAGTCTATTAATTAGTACATGACATCATTGAATTTATCTGATGGTCACACGTACTTACGTTCTAATTGTGATAATGAGTGTTAAATTAATTTGTATATATTATTTCAACAACCTTATTATTTATTCAAACCACACCAAATTCACACTCAACCTCAACCTATTAGATGCTCTTTTCTATCTATAAATAGTTCGAAATGTTGAGGAGAAAACACACGGCAGAAGTGAAGAAAAAGAAAGGAGAGAGAAAAAGAAAGAAGAAAGAAGGAAGGAAAGAAAAAAAAAAAAAGAGAGAAAAATATATTCAGTCCAAGAAAATATTTGAGGAATAAAAATATAGTGATAAAAATAGAGAAAAATTATCAGAGAGATAATTTTATTCCTATTTTTGTTAGTGCTCAATTCTCGACTCCGTTCTAGTTCGCCGGAGCTCTTAAATTTGGTGTGCTACAGATTTAGAGCCGTTTGCCGTTACATCTTTGAAAAAATTACGCCTGAACCATTAGCTGCCACACGGAGCGAAAATTCGGATGCATCAAATGTTAATATAGTACTTGATTGTCGTCGAATTATGAAAATGCAAAAGGAGTTTTCGGAATTATTACAAGAATTAGGGGCTGAAATGAAAAATCGCCATTTCACAAAGCCGATGTCAACGCATTCTTTAATGTAAATATTGTCCTGCTTTTCACTTTCACTTTCACTTTCACTTTCGAAGCAGTTCTAACTTCTAAGTTCTAACGCTGTACGAAAAACATACAAATTTCCACCCGCCACCGCGGTAGTCGCTACGAGCCATCACGCGCCGCCGTTCACCTCATCCTCACCAGCTGAGCGTAATTAACTGCCCTGCCTTGCACTCTGCACCTTTAATTTGCACCTTTCGTTGATAAATGTACATTCAATTCAGTTTACACCTTTTTTTGGGGGGGAGTTCTCTTTGGGCTTGAATTACTTGCATATACCCTGATTGCATTATAAATTGATTTTCATTTCTTGATCTAATCCTTATTTTTCAAGATTCCTATTCAATTTCAGAACGTTATAAAGTAATTAACGTTTTCATATATTTTTCATCATAAATGCTGGTGTTAGGCTGCCTGCTCAAAGAAGAGTAAGGTTGTTGTAGGTTACTCGGACATAATTATTTACTAGATGTCCATACTTTCAAGTTGAAATGTCATGATCTAATATACAACACACAAAAGTATAGTGTGACATTTCATAGCATTGACATGCATTTTTATTAGAAGATTATGGTCGATATCCACCTAACGGTTAGGCCGTTGTCTCACTCTTGAAATTGTGATTTTCATATCATGAAACAGGTCTTCAATTTGTATGTTCTGTCTTCAACGTTTGTTTATTTGTTATTATTCTTTTAAAATGCAGGAGCTGTGCAAAAATAGAATAAGGAAAGGGAGAAAAGCTCGGTTTTCCTTTTATTGGGAACTCCAACTAAACTTGAGATGGTGGGCTTTCTCAAATATCAAAATTTTGCATTCATGAATTTTCTTTTCCATTGATAATTAGACTGGAGTGTTCATTATTTCCACATTTCTAGTGTGAGATAGTGGAAATTTCGGACGATGAAGATAATTCAATGCCGTCAAACGATTTACCAAGTATGCTAAAGCACGAGAATTTGGATTATGATTTTCCACAAGAAAACACAAGCTCGAGGCCTATGGTGGGTTGTTTACTAATTTTGAAGCAAATGTCCACTTCGTAGTTGTTGTGTCAAGGGATGAATTAAATGTTGGTTGTTGAGTTGTTAGTACCTATCCTTGGGGGGTTAGTATTGTACATTTCACGGATATTTGTTATGGTTTATCTCGGAAAGTGTACATTATCTCTGTGAGCTGTGCTTTATTATAGGAAAATGTGGCGAGCTCGTCTGGGACCAATTTAAGATCATCTTTCTTGGGGATGGGATTTGCGCCAGCTCTTGTCGACAAAGCAATTGATGAACATGGTATTGTTAGCTTATTCTTTTGGACAATTTTATACCTTTTGGATGCTACAAATTTGAATTTTACATGTTCAATAAGCTGAAAGGAGTCCTCAAACATCATATCAATCTTCACTTACTTTATGATTTCATGGAGCTCTTGTACCTAGTCTATTATAATAAATTTTTCACCGTTGCCATTTAACAAATACACACGGAATAATTTCCGTTTCATCACAGGTGAAGGGAATGCAGAGTTATTGTTGGAGACACTCTTTGCATATTCTGTAAGTGCTTCAGCTCCCAAACTATACCTTTGATCGCACTTTCTTATTTGCATGTAAGAATTCTGTATCTTTTCTCCTCACCATATTACAGTGTTATGCATTTTACTTCCTTAATTCTTACCACCTTTAGCTATTGTTTAATTAATTTCGGTTCACTTTTAAACAGAAAAGGATAGTCAGACTATGTGTGTTCTTTGATTTGTTTTATTTTTATTTATGTTTTCCAGAAGGGCCAAAAAACTGATCAGTTCTTTTTTATTTGTACTCCCTAAGCAGTAAGCAACGGTAAACAAACATGTATGATGTAATTTACTACAACTTCTCCTACTACATTTTATTACGGATACAACTGATTAGAATTCCTCAATACATGACCAAAACACCCAAAGGAAAACCAAACATTCACAGTTCAATGCTATTATATGGTAATAGATTTTTATTTTATTTTTTTGAAAATCTAATGACGGTAGTGTGTACCAAGAAACCTAGGTTATTTCTTGTTTTTGTCTTTTATGAGTTCCATGGCTTACCATCAGATAGATTGCTTTCTGAATTCAGTCATTTCATAATTTTCTGATCCCCATTTGCCGCCTTAATGAAGTTCCATACAAAAACCAATTGGTGATAGGAAGAGTAACTCACTAGGTTTAAACGACTCTCATTTTTCCTATATAGTCAATGTGGGACAAATATTTCATCCAACATGCCCCCTTATTTGTGAGTCCTTCATAGGCCTGGTAGATCAATCATCACAGGTCCTAGATCAGGGCCTGCTCCGATACCATGTTAGATTTATTTAGTTAGGAAGGGGGAACCTTAAGAGAGTGAGTCTAGTTCCCACTTGAGGTTCCATCTCAAAACCAATTGGTGATAGGAGTGGTAGTCGACTAGGCTTATAAACTATAAACTAGGCACAGTTTTCCTATATAGTCAATGTGGGACAATTTCACAAAGGATATTACAACACTAACCACTTCACACGCTGACGAGACGAAATTACAACAACCCATTCATTGTCTTGGTTTAGTGTGGAGCTGAGTCTTTGGACTATAGTATTTTTTCCTAGATTGGTTAAAAAATGAATTATGCAATGCCTGCTAATCAGTGTTGTCTATAGGCGGTAGACTGGGGCCTAGCGCCTAGGTAGGATTTAATTGGAGCCTAGGCAGGTCTGGATTTATATAGTGCTAGGCATAAAATTAAATTGTCGTCAGTCACGGGGGCCTAGCACCTATGCGGGATATCATCGGAGCTAGGCGGGGACTACAATAAAGCTACCGATAGAGAACTTGGGTTGAAATTTATTTGTGTTGTAAGACTAATATTGCTTCGACTTGAACAGAATCATCAGCAACCAAAGCCAGAACCTTTTGATGATGGCCTATCCAACAGCAGCAGTGATGATTTAACCGCAAACCATCATGTAAAGGAGGTAAGTTTTTCTTTGTTTATCCCTGTGAACGGCCTTCTAGTATATCTGAGTTTGAGTATGATGACTAATTATCATAGACCTTTTCTCGGGTGGCACACAGTGTTATCTCTAATTTCCAAATCTGGTTTCTTGCCTTAGTATTTTTTTTTTTCACTCGAATATATTGTTTTCCAACCATATGATTTGGTCAGTTATATTCGTAATTCTTTTCTGAGTCATATCCATTTTCAAGAAATGTGACCTTCAATTTCTTGTCTACATGTCTGTCCTGTTGCATGGGACTTTTATATGTTTCAGTTCTCTCATGGTTTTTGCTAGTAGGGGTTTTTAACATTGGTATTATCTATTATGCCATTTAAAACTTGATTGACTATTTCCTTCTTGATGCACAGTCTTGGATTTCCTTATTTTCTGCAATTATGGATCTTGCAGGAACCTGATGCTGGCAGTGCCATTGATGGAAAAAAGGAATCATTATTGAAAATGAATTTCACTGTCGATGAAGTTGAGCTTGCTATGGGTAGACTTGGTTGGTGGAAATGTCCAAACTCTTGATATACACCTTCACACACTGTGAATGATGCTTCTCGTGTTTTGCAAAATGTTATTATGCCAATCCCTATTCTTCTCTGGATTTTTTTATTTGTATTTCTTTTACAAGGAGCATTTGTTGGTGTATCATACTCTTTGACTGGCTTATTGTCCTACAGTTGGCCATTATAATGTTGTTGTCTAATGTGTTAGGGTAACTTTTTATTTTGTTGATCACATGTCCTACACTTGTGTAACTCCGCGAATCTTGTTTCTGGTTTCTAAACAACCTTTTGTGCTAAGGATATCCTAAATGTCTATTCATGTGACAAGTTAGCACTCCTATACTACTCACGTCGAAAGCTAAGTACAAATTCTGATGTTTTATCACAGGTAAAAATGCTACTGTTGGTCAACTAATGGACTTCATTTTTGCTACGCGGATGGCCAAGAAGTATGAAAAAGATACACCTAATATAATAATTGGAGATGAGGAAAATGAAAAGGTTTTGTTTGATGACTCTTTCAACAAGTTCACGTTAAATTATGACTTATGATTGTCTGGGTGCATTTCCTGTGATATCATGAGTTGATAATATTTAGTTCTTACAGCCATTGGCAACAAAACGTGATCCCTTGTAGTCATTTTCAGTCTGTAACCTATAACCAAAGTTGCTGTTCTGTGAACGTGATTTTGTCTGACCAGAGCCTTCATCGTTGTTTTGTAACATGTGTGTATATAACTATATATATGTATATATCATGCCTCATGCTTATATTCATTTGTAAATTCTCAGGATTGTAACAATGAGGTGCTATTTGGTGTCATGGAAAAGACGCTTCAACTGCTTGAAATGGGCTTTTCAGAGAACGAAATATCAACAGCTTTTGAGAAATGTGGTGAGCTTACAGCATAAGAAAATAGAGGATTGTACTGTTCTGTTCATACATCTGCTCCAAAAACACCAATAGTTGTTTTTTTCTTTTGCTTTTTTTTCTGTTTCCGCTTTCTTTCAATCATATTGCTGCACCTGTGTCCGTCAACATCCTTCTAGATAGAGGATTCTAGTATTGTATGTTGCACAAAACCCAATTCTTACAAATTTTGTTCGTGATAAACACTTCTAACTGCCTGTCGCCAATAAATTTTTATTTTCTATGAACGGGCAATCGGGTATCTAATCTTTCAATTAGGCTAGGTTATGTAGTCATACTTTTTCAATAGGTATGCATACTTTCATATTGAAATGTTATACTCTACATAATAACATAAATAAAAGTACGACATCTCACAATATACGTATGCAATTTTGTCACAAAAGTATGACAGGTTGACCTGTCTAATGGTTAGGCCGCCTCACACAAATATTTGTGCTAACTTGTGTTTCTACATTTCAGGTTCAGAAGCACCTCTCCCTGAGCTCACGAACTCAATTGTCGACCCTACTTATCAAGTCCGTCCCATAACATAAATCTTCCTTTTAGTAGTTTCTTATTTTATACATCACCTTTTCCAGTCACAGTCACACTTTCTGACTCATTAAAATTTCTCCGCAGTATCGGCCTCCAAAACGGAAAACATCCGAGCCCCTTTTCAACTCATTATTCATCAAGACAGAGGTACAAGGCGACCTCACATCCCAAGCCGGGACTTCCAACTCGCTCGTGAAACCAAAGCGCAAGATCCCAAGAACACGACTTACGCACGAACCAAACGACTTCATGGAACCAAAGGTGGAATTCGCCGAGACCAGGAGCTCCGCCAACCTGCCGCCAGCCTGGCAAATGGACTTTCTAGCGGAAGACTCGAAGCCCTCAATGTACCCTTGCAGGACCCTTTCTCCGGCAGCCGCACGGCCCCCTTATTTCCTCTACGGGCACGTGACCAACCTCTCTCATTCCTCGTGGACCAAAATCTCTCAGTTTCTGTACTCGGTCAAGCCCGAGTTCGTAAACACCGAGTCACACTCGGCCCTGAGCCGACTCGAAGGCTACGTGCACAACCTCCCCACGGAAAATCGGGCCCACATCCTCCCCAGGGGCCCGCTCACCATCCAGGAAGCCGCCCCACACTCCGAAAAATGGTGGCCCGCGTGGGACACCCGGAAGCACCTGACCCACGTCGGCTGCCACGCGGGCGGGTCGGCTCACGTCATCGACCGAGTCTCCCTGGCCCTGTCCGGGCCCGATGGGCCTCCGCCTCCGGACCTCGTCCAGCAGCTCCAATCAAAGAGCCTCATCTGGATGGGCCGGAATCGGGTGGGCCCGCTGGAGCCCGAGCTGGCGGAGCGCGTGATGGGCTACCCGCCGAACCACACTCGGGCCGCCGGGCTCGGCCCGGATGAACGGCTTAGATCGCTCGGGCTCGCTTTCCAAACGGACACGCTGGGTTACGTTCTTTCGGTTGTGAGGCAGCTTTGTCCGGGAGGGGTGGCTGTGCTGTCATTTTTCACGGGGATTGGTGGGCCTGAGGTGGCGCTGCAGCGGCTGGGGATTAGGATGAGGGGTGTGGTGTCGGTGGAGCCGAGTGAGGTGAGGCGGAGGATTGTGAGGAGGTGGTGGGAGAGTAGCGGGCAGGGTGGGGAGCTGGTGCAGATTGAGGATGCGAGCAGGCTGACGGGGGGGAGGCTGGAGGAGCTGACGAAGAAGTTTGGGGGGTTTGATTTGGTGGTGTGCCAGAACCCGAGTTCGGGCGCGGAGAGTGATGTGCTGTCAGGACTGGATTTCTCCATGTTTGTGGAGTTTGTGAGGGTTCTGCAGCGGGTGAGGTCGTCCACCAGATAATTGTTTTGGAGGATTGAAATAATTGTGACATTTATGTATGATATAAGATAAGATTATTATATCTATCTATTTATTTTTTTTTTAGTTAGACCTCTACAGTAGGAGGAGAACTGGAATATATGTCACTAAACCATCAATAATGCCCCAAGAATGTGAGGTATTTCAGTAGTAATTTGTTTGATAATAATTACTCTGCAACTTTGGTGGTGGTGCATGTTTTTGTTACCTAATATTCCATGTCACTAGACATGGCTACAGGCCGAACTGGTCTGGTCAAGCCTTCGGCCTGGTCAAGCCCGTTGACTGATAGCGTGGAGCCGGGCCTGTTCAGGTTATCAATTATTATCAATTAATAAATTTGTGAATTGGGCCTGTTCAGGTTATCAATTAATAAGTTTGTGAATTGCATGCCGGTTAGGATCGGCTCGACAATTATATATACTAGTACAGAGCCCGTGCGATGCACGGGGTGCACAATTTTAAGGCTATTTATCCAGGCTTATAATTATATACATGAATAAAGAAAAAATGTACGGAATATATATAGTACGTGACCCGTGCAAAGCACGAGATATATTTATTTGGAGAATATTATATTATAAGATGCAATATTCAATAAAAGTTTATAATATGCAAGAAAATTGTACAATGTTCGATAAAAGTTTTATAATATTCAAGTGGAGTCTTAAAGTCTCTTGTACATTAAGACTATTGACAAAATAATATTTTAATCAATGAGTTTCCTTTCCTTGTAACCAAATTGTGAATATGATTTGAGGAGTACAACAAATCGATATATAGCTGATTTGTTTTTTTCATTGTAGTTTTTTTTTCTTTTTTTTATAATGAATTTAAAGATATTCAATATAGCAAAAATTAAATTTTTTATTACAATTATGAATTTTACTAAATATAAACTCTCAATCTATGGTGTTAATCAACGTTTAAGTCTAAAAAATAATAGAGTTATTATAAGTTTTTTTTCTACATCTTTTAAAATATTAAATATGAGCGTGTTAGGGCTAGCTTGTAAAATAATTAATATATTATCTCACTAAAACATTTATACTAATAAAAATTTAATTTTAGCATATAAATTTATCCCTTGATATAAGAGAAAGTAACAGTTTTACATATTGTTGTTCACCATATAATATTTAATTATTATTTTATTATATAATATAAAAAAAAATATTGTTAAATAGTGTAGTAGAGTTGTTATAAAATTATATGATTTTTTTTTCACAATATGGATTTTAATATTTTTTTATGATTTGATAATATAAACAAATCTATACTTAACTTTGACAAATAAAATAAATAAATACTTTAGTAAGTATTTAGTGTATATACTAAATATGAATATATTTGGTATAATCAAATACCAAATATAATCAAATAAGTTAAAGTATACATTTTTATTTGGTATTTAATTTTTTTATTATTAAAATCTTTTTATTATACTTATTTTTTTAAAATAAAACAAATAAATAAATCAATTAAAGAAATAAAATGTTATAATACCAAAATAGTAATGGCATTTAATGCAGTTGACTTTTCTGTATAGTAAATGTAGTAAATAGAATCTCCTTTTATATAAGTATAGATTGTATAATACGGAAATAGTAATGCAATAAATGTTGTTGACTTTTCTTTATACTAAATCTGGTAAATGGTATACTTTTAATATAAGTATAGATATATATATATATATATTTATATATGTGAATTTTTGTTTTTTTTATTTTTTTCGGGCCGGGCTGGGTCGGTCTGACAGTGATGACTATTGACGATCTGCCGGTCAGATTGAATTTCATGGTTGAGAATCTTCAGTTAACTTGAGATGTCGTCCCTAAACATGAACATCGTAGGGAGCCAATTAGTTTCGAGCATGAGCTTAAGGAATTTCACAGATATTGTCGTAATTAAAAATCCCGATCTCGAGGGAAGAGGAATTTCTGTTTATAGGTAGAATCTTGTTCCACATTCGAACAGTGTAATATAATATAGGACCAAGTAAAGAGACCGACTTTTGATTATGGGAGAGTTTGGGCTAAGAACCTCCCCGACACTTTGCAGGTACGTACGTGTGATGAGGAGACAATTATATACCCGATTAATTTGATAGTTTTTTTGTGAATTGGGCACAAACAATTAGCCTATATGTGTGTGGTTTATACATTTAATCTTAGTAGCTTTCTTTAAAGCTTGGTAACTACAAAGTTACATCATTGTCGTCTAAGATTAAGAGCATCTCCAACCCACCCTTCATACCTACAGGAAACTGGTGGGTTGGAGGAAAATCATCTCCAATCAGCCCTCTTGTTTTGGAGGAAACTGTAGACTTGTTATTGTGGAATGGTTGGCACACCGTTCCACTGTTCACACTCTTTACATTTTTCCTTTTTTTTTGCTAAAACTAATACTGAGTTGTATTTTGGGCCAATATAGATGTATTGTGATTGGGCTTTTTTAACTACAACTTGGCTCATTGAATTAATTAATTTTATAAGTTGAATTAAAATATTTTATAATGGTTATAAACTTAATTATTGTAATCAATATGGTAGAATTTTAAGTAGTGTAATTAAAAATTGAATACTTTATTAATTAATATGATAGAATATTAATTAGTATTCAAATTTGCTTAAATAAATATTTCAAACAAACAAGTTAAAATCACAAAATAAGAATAAATACTAAACTCACTTAAAATTAACGGTTCAAACACTAAGATTAAAATCACAACATAAGATTAAATTAATGTTTGTGATGAACTCCATGTGATTTTATGATGTAGTGTTTAATTTTATGATTTTTATTTAAATTTATTAATTAATCTTATTAATCAATAATTAATATTTATACATAAATATGTAAATTTTATGCAAGCATAATGCATTAAAATGTAATTTGTAGAGATTATTTAATGAACTAATAAAATTAGAAAAGAATATGCTTGGAATATTCTTTTAGAGGGGAATTATAGAGAGAATGGGTTGGAGTTGTTAGCACTGTTGAAACTGTAAAACTAGTGGAATTTCACTGTAGAAACTGTAAAGATAGAGAGCATGGTTGGAGATGCTCTAAGTAGTTATATCAAACTAGATATCTAAAACTACTCTCTAAGGTACAGTTTTTCTTTATCAATTCCTAAGTAGCTTTGTTTAATGGCCGTCGCCATCTTTGGATTCTTCCTCCCTCTTCCTGAAGGGAGAGTAACCTTTCTCCAACATCTTCTCCACCTCTGCAAACTGCAGCCCTTTAGTTTTCGGGACGAGGAAGAAGATGAAGACGAGGCCGACAAACGAGAAACAATAGGGAAGTTATCAGGTTTGAGCTCCAGTTAGAGACTGCCGCAATCCCTCCCCCAAGACCCCTGTACTCGAGCTGATATATCTCCTGAGTTTATTATCCACGGCACGCTCCCCATGCCTGGGGAATACACGATGATGTACAGGCCCAAGAAAACCACGGCCAAGAACCCGATCCTGCTCGGGTAGCCTTCCGTGTACCATGTTCGTTTGGCTGCCCGACACGTCCCTCTCACGCCATTATCCACAGCCAGGCATGGTACTGTACGCCACACAAGAAAGATGAGATATATAATAGAGATATTGAATTTATGTGATAGGTAGTGAGAATTCAGGGACTTGCGATGCTGGCCGAGGCCGAGCAGTAAGCGCAGTCGGTGGCACCTCGTGCAACCTCAGGCACCTCATACTCGGGGAGGGACAACATCAAAAGAAACTGAACTAGTGCCGGAAGACCAGCAACGCCGAGCATCCAGCGCCACGTGCCATTGACCTAATCAAACTGATATGTGAGAAATCTTGTATAATTTTGTGGTTTAATTTACATATTTGAATATTAGTGTAAGAATATTGGTTTGACATCATCCGAAAAACCTAAGTGTTTTCTAGAAGATTTTCTTGTTAGGCAAGCAAAATAAATTAAAGGGAAGTTTTCTATTTATTTACTTGTTAATTAATTAAGTTCCTATTGTTTATTATTTATAATATATGTTATATATTTATTATAATATGTATTATGGAATCTTAAACCTTTAGGAGAAGGATTACATAATATATATCCTATATATGTACTTACCATATATGCCACATGCATTAATGAGTTTGATTCTATGCCATAATTAGTTTTCTCTTTCTTGTAGGACAAGGAATAGGTGGCAAGGACTATGAAAGGATGAGCAATTCGTGCATAAGGAATTCTGGACGTTATCTAGAAGATCTAAGGAGGATTTGGAAAGATTCACCACAAGATCTTTGAAGATTTGGAAGATCGGCTATTTTAAGAAAGTTGTGTTCTTACACGAGTCTGGAACCACGAAGATTTCCATTGGCAACTCAATTATGAAGATCTCCAAATCACATACAATCAAGGAAGATTTACTTTCCATGTTACTACACTATTTTTGGGAAGAAGATCAAAGGAGATCGTGAAAGAAGGAAAGAACTTGGAGAAGACTCCAAGCCTAAGGAGTTGTATATATACCCTACTTGAAGATCGAATGAAGGCTGCTGAAATCATTATCTTCCATCAATATTCGAGCTTCAAGCCTTTTAGGTTTTATTTTCGTTGTTCAGTTTTCGGTGTTCTTACGACATCGAAGAACTGAAGTCTTTTGTTTTGATTCTTTTGTTTTTCATTCAAACACTTGTGTGATCAGTACTTAGGGATTAAGTACTGTCTTTAGCTCGAGGGATTCGAGAGGTAAAATCCACGGGACGTGGTCGGAGAAGTAGTTGATAGAATCGTGTGTAGTTGTGGCTAGGCTAGAAGGGAGTTCGAGTCGTGTAAGTTCAAACTATACAAGTGTGCACAAACGGTTTATCAATGAAAGAGCTCTGAGGGGAAGTGGGACGCTTCCCTGAAGAGTTTTTAAATCTTCGGTTTATTGCTTCCGCTATTCTAGTTGTTTATTTGTGTTCTAACAACGTTGAGCGCACTCGTCGTAAAATACCTACGTTTCAATTGGCACCAGAGCAGTGTTCCTGTTCTACTTGCAGGATAAAGATCTTTGGGTCCTTGGGTTGGTCACCATGATTCACGACGGCATGTCCGTTTCGCGCCCACCGTACCTTGACGGTTCTAACTATGGATACTGGAAATCCATGATGGTGATATTTATTCGCTCTTTGGGTAAAGGTAACTGGCAAGTCATTGAGTCAGGCTGGACCACACCACACATGCCGAAAGCTCCCTCGAAATCAAAGTCATCAACCTCGGCTGCTCATGTTCTAGTCGAGAAACCAAGGGATCTTTGGACTGATGTTGAAAGACAAGCAGAAGAAGCAAACTTTCGTGCATTATATGCTATCATGTCTGCTGTGGATCCAACTCGCCATAAGATGATTATTCAGTGCACCACAGCTCGTGACGCATGGAAGATTCTTGAGAGGCAATTTGAGGGTACCAGACGAATTTGTTGCCAAAATTACGATGTTAGAACATGAACAGAAGTTGTCCAAGCAGGTATGTGATGAAAAGGTTTTTATCATTGAGTCTCTACGTAATGAAATGTTTGTCTTGCAGAAAACTATAGATGAAAGGGAAACCGAGATTGTTGCACTCAAAAGAGAACTCGGTCGAGTGATGGAAGAACATGTAACGCTCAAGAGTTATTGTTCTGCAATGGAAGAGAAACTCAGCAAGAGTGAGGAGATTGTCAAGATGATCAACAAGCCCAAGTCCTCATTTGCTGAAGTTCAGAGGCTGAGTCAACAAATTGGTACCTCAGACCAGAGTAAGAACGCTCCTAATTAGAAACTGAAAGGTAAAGTTAGCGAGCCGAGCACATCTCTGAGTAATTCTGACCTGACTTTTGTCAAAGAAGGCTACAGCCTTGAAGGTAAGAATGGTAAGCCTAATTCTACCAAAACTCAGCATAAGAACTCTGGTAAGAACTTTGTGCCTGTTTGTCACTATTGTGGTATTCGTGGTCATATTCGCCCTAAGTGTTATAGGATGCATAATGATATTTATACTGGTCGAATTGATGAATGGAGTCCACATGGTGTACCCTTGAAAGCACCTAAACTAAAGGTTGATGTGGTTAATCATGAACAGAAAAAGATTTGGGTTCCTAAAGGCAGTAAGAACGTGTGTTTATCTTCTATACTTGCATTGAAATCCACCTCTAATTCTGATTGGTATTTTGACAGTGGTTGTTCTCGTCATATGACAGGTCTAAAATCTAACTTGATTAATATTTTGCCTGTTCCTTCTAGTTCTGTGACCTTTGGTGATGGTGTTAAGAATAGAGTTCTCGGTATAGGATGTTTGAATGTTCCTGGATTGCCCAAAATTCAAAATGTTCTTCTTGTTGAAAATTTGAAAGTGAATTTGCTGAGTGTGAGTCAATTATGTGATCAAGGATTTTCTGTGAGTTTCACCTTGAATGAATGTATGGTTTCAGATAGAAATAATAACTGTGTTCTTACAGGGTCTAGATCGCATGATAATTGCTATTTGATTGATTATATGACTTTTGACTCATGTGATATGAGTTCTGGTATTATTAGAGATTGTGATGTTGATAGGGATAAGAATGTTGTTGATCAATGGAGTACGTCTGACGGATGTTCTTACACTAATCAGAATCTTGTGGCTGAAACGGACATACACCAATATTCGAAATTTGTGTTTATTTTGCAGATTATTACACTTAGTGATAGACATTGATGAGGTGGCAGCTGTGTAAGCAATGACATGAATTTAAATTTATTTGGCCAAGTAATTAAAGAAAAAAAATAGAAGAAAAGAAGAGGAGGACTCTTGGTTGTTGTTGGGACGGAATTTGAGGACATTAATTAGGGAATTTAATTTCCTATGGATTGAACTCTCATTTTATTTCAAGAGTGTGGAGCAAAATGCACTTACATGGCATGATGGGAAGAAGAATTTGTTTTGAAGTGGACTCTTAATTAATTGGGAGACTTATGTTTAAGAAAGGAATTAATTAAAAAGAGGGAAAAGGCTGGGACTCGAAGGAGGCGACTCTCTGGAGGCGTGATCTTGAGGATTTATTTGCTTGGAGTTCATTGGGCCCGAATGATTTACTAAGGGAGCTTGTTATTTATTTTTATATTTTATTTTTTTATTTTCTATTTTGATTGAAGACCATGAATGTTAGTATTTATTTTGATTATTTAGCTATGTCTAGCTAAACACTTATTTCGGTTCTAGGGACGTTGAACCCTCGATGACTATGTTTGATTAATGCAATTTATTTCGTTTTACTAGTCGTATAAAATTGTTTGTATTATTCTAGTTTCATGTCATAATGTGTGATTTTTAATTTAGCTTGATCACCTAAGTTAGGATTTGCATGTTAATTGCTAGAGTTGAGGCTTTGATCCGTAATTGTCGTAGTTCTTAATTCAATTGTAGCAACTAACAGTCGTGCATTGTTAGGGATAACACAACATAAGTTACATGAACCGAGCTTATGTGTTTGTGGCTTAGATCGATCAATTTTCCTAGATTTTAATGCGACTAGTGGGTTAAATTAGGATAACTTATTCCGAGTTATTCGCTAGTTAGAATTAATTGAAGAGCCTATTTCGATTAAGTATAAATTAAGGGAAAATTCGGGTAGCAGAGCTTATTGCTATCTAGGACCGGTAGTTTTAGAAGACGAGTAAAATTGATAAATACATTAATTGGGCTAGTTATTTGAGGGTGTAGACCAACCTGGAACCGATTCCATTCTCATCTTTGCTAAATTATTTGTTTATTTTCGTTCTAGTCATTTATTTCTAGTTCTAGTTCATATTTTTGCTTTGCGAGTATTTTAGTTTCATATCAAACCCCTCCATTTTTATTATAACCTAATTAATATAATAAATTCACAGTTTATACCACACTCCCTGTAGGATCGACCCTTGCTCGCCACTACTACTTGTTAGTAGGGGTAAGTTAGGAAAAATTATAAATTCAAATTTTCCGTATAACGACACGCGATCAAATTTTGGCGCCGTTGCCGGGGAGTGGCAAGGAGCTCCCAGCCCCTGAGGGTCCTATTCCATCGAAGGAAGATGCGGACGAGAAAGAAGATGGCGAGAATACTCAAGATTCTGCTGCTACCGCCCCCCCTGATAACAGAAGTGCTGGAGGTAAATTGAAGGAAAATGCTATCGAAACCGAGCCGAGGTGGGCTGAACCTTTACCTTTTCCATCGAGAATCAAGAGGAAACAGAAAGACGATGCCGAGAAGCAGGTCTTGGATGTTTTCAGAAAAGTCGCGGTCAATATCCCCTTAATCGACGCAATAAAGCAAATTCCGAAATATGCAAAGTTTCTGAAGGACTTGTGCATGAATAAGCGGCGATTGAAGGGGGACGAGAAGGTGATAATGGGAGAGAATGTTTCAGCCGTGTTCCAGAAGAGCATGCCACAGAAGAGGAGTGACCCAGGTATGTTTTTCATTCCTTGCATAATTGGGAATTTAAAAATAGAACGGGCTATGTTAGATTTGGGTGCTTCAATAAATGTTATGCCTCATTCTATTTTTAATTCTCTGAATTTGGGTCCTTTAAAACAAACTGGGTTGTTATCCAACTCGCCGATCGTAGTACCACTTTTCCCGACGGCGTTGTTGAGGATGTGCTTGTAAAAGTTAATGATCTTGTGTTTCCAGCTGATTTCTATGTCTTGAGCATGGATGATAAGTCCTCAAACTCCACTCCAATTTTATTGGGGAAACCATTTTTGAACACAGCCCAAACAAGGATTGATGTCCGACAGGGCACTCTTACTATGGAGTTTGATGGGCATATTATCAAGTTCAATATTTTTGATGCTATGAAATATCCTAATGATTGTGATGACTCCGTCTATATGCTTGATGTTATTGACCCTTTAGTACAGGAATTTATGGAGATTTATGGTCGAGATGATGAGTTAGAGGTGGCAATTGCATCGAGTATTGGGTGCGACAGTCTGTTATCGCCCCCCTGATAACAGAAGTTGACGAGGCTGGTCTTGGCAAGCGAGCCAAAGAATTGAGGGAGATCGTTATGGCTTTGCATGAGAGAGGACATGTTCCTCTTAGGTATGATATTAATTTTATTAAATTACCAGAATCTAATCAAAAAAAATTTCCATCTACTGTGCAGGCTCCGGAGCTCGAATTAAAATCCTTGCCTACGCACTTGAAGTACGTGTACTTGGGGGATAATGACACGCTGCCCGTGATCATTTCAGCATGTTTAGAGGCTGCCCAGGAGTCATCTTTGCTGAAAGTATTGAAGGATAACAAACGGGCAATCGGCTGGACGATAGCGGACTTGCGTGGGATCAGTCCGTCAATTTGTATGCACCGTATCTTGTTCGAGGATGGAGCCGGGCCATCTCGAGAGCCACAACGGAGGCTGAACCCACCCATGATGGAGGTGGTAAAGAAGGAGGTCATCAAGTTGCTGGATGTCGGGGTGATCTATCCTATTTCTGACAACCGATGGTAAGTCCGACTCAGGTAGTGCCCAAGAAATCTGGGATAACTGTGGTTGAAAACTACAATGGTGAGTTAGTTCCTAGTAGAGTACAGACTGGGTGGAGAGTTTGTATTGATTACCGTAAGTTGAATGCGATGACGCGTAAGGATCACTTTCCTTTACCGTTTATTGATCAAATGATTGAGAGATTGGCTGGTCACTCTTATTACTGTTTCTTAGATGGTTTTTCAGGATATTTTCAGATTCCTATAGCTCCAAAGGACCAGGAGAAGACGACGTTCACGTGTCCCTATGGCACGTTCGCCTACCGTCGCATGCCGTTTGGATTGTGCAATGCACCGGCCACGTTTCAGAGGTGTATGGTGAGTATCTTTCCGAGTATGTGGGCAACATCATAGAAGTGTTCATGGATGATTTCAGTGTGTATGGCGACTCCTTTGAGGTATGTCTCGAGAACCTCTCTTTGATCTTAAAAAGATGTGCCAAAACTAACCTTGTATTGAATTGGGAAAAATGTCATTTTATGGTTAAACAAGGTATAGTTTTAGGCCATATTGTTTCTTTAAAGGGAGTAGAAGTAGATAAGTCTAGAGTTGATCTTATAACTGCCTTGCCTTACCCCGCTAGTGTGCGGGAAGTTCGTTCCTTTCTTGGTCATGCAGGCTTTTACAGGCGGTTCATCAAGGACTTTTCAAAGATAACCTCACCACTTTGTAGGCTCCTACAGAAGGACGTGGACTTCAAGATTGAGTTTAAATATAAAATCTAAGAATTGATGAGTTTTTAAAGCTCAAAATTGAGTTTAAATAGTTTAAGATTGACTGAATTCAAGAGTGAGCAGGCTTGGGCTAGGTCACCGGCAAAATCGTGGGCTAATGATAGCTAAGACGAACACATTCGCACTCTAGAACGTTCAGGGCTCCTTTTGACTCGTAGGCATGTAAGCGGTGCTAGGCCTATCGCAAGGTCGCGACCCGTAAAAGAATGACAACCAGCGGCCCATGAGCATTCCCAGTATGTGGGGCGCAATTAGGCGTGATGCCCGTCATGAGCGTGACTCTAGTCGCACCTGCTAGTAGTAGAAAGGCTCGGTCTGAGTGTCTTTTTTTGCACTAATAGGTTCGTCCAAAAATGTGTCATTATTTTGACCTTGAACCTCCTGCTGGATTTTTCTACAATGAATTAATCTTTGCATTTTAATACGTTAATTTGACAAGTGCACGTTGCATATTATTTTCAGTTTATAAATCATATTGTGTCTAACTTCTTTTAGAGTTCCGAATATCCCTTCTATATATAATTTTAGAATAGGTTGAGCTTACATGACAAACTCTCACGCATCGGAATCTTATTTGACAAAAAATCATACTTTAGAGTTAGGCTTTGATATAAATCAATATTTTTTATCACACTAAATTATGATTAATTTTTTCTTTCTTTATCTATATATATTTTCAGAATAGGTTGAGCCTACTGGCAAACTCTCACGCTTCAGAATCTTATTTGGCAAAAAACCATGCTTTGGAGTTAGACTTGGATATAAATCAATATTTTCTATCACACTAAATCCATGATTAATTTTTTTTCTTCTTTATTAGTTATTATATATGTTTCTTCTTCTTATTTTAAGATTTTATAACTTTTTTATATATGATATATCAAATTAACTATCTTTTAACGATTTTCGATTTGACATTCATATTAATACACATATATAATACAAAATAGTAATATATATTCTTATAAATAAAATTTAAGTTTATTTATCAAACTAAAGTAAAAGACATCAAATAAAACTATAAATTATATTATAAAGTAATAGAAATTGGTATGTATTCTTTCAAAAATGATATTTATTTCAAATCTAATTGATATGTTATCAATCTAATAAAAATATATAATTATTTATCTAAATTCTAAAATTATATATAAAGTTAGAAAACTGTGAAGCACAACGGATTTTTGCACTTATGCATATACATATCACTATATTATTTCTATTTATTTAAGATATATATTTTTTACTTAATTATAGTAAATAATATCGATAATTTTATATGATATAAGTAAAAAAATTCAATATGAGTTAACATTTTCATTTAATATACGGGTGTTTAATTATTATGATTAGAAAAATATAATTTGACAATTTAATTAAAACTCAAAGTAATGTTTATATAAAATTAAATCATTTTAGTTTAAAAAAAGTAATATTTTTTACATATACTTCTTAATTCAATACCCATGTATTTACACGGACATTGTACTAGTTAGTATTATTCGTTAAAATCTCGTACGTTTAATTAATAATATTTTATATATATTACATATATAACGGTATTACATAATATTGTAATATATATATTTACAAGTATTAATAAATTAAATTCCAATCTAATTGTTCTACCACTCGTCCGATTAATTAAATAAAAAACATTGAATCATTCAAGAGTGGCTTAACCGGTTTTTTACAAGAACCATCCGACTGGGTAACGTAAACATGGATTGAAATCAGATTTCGTGTTGTGTGCAGTACGTGGAAGCAAAAGAGACCATATTGCTTTGTGGTGCTGCCACGTAAACTGCCACGTTCTCATACATGCGCTCCACTGACCTCATCATCATCTCCTCCCTCAATCTGCTTTTATATATTTTAGCCACAATCATATTCCTAGTCCCATATATATATCTCAAATTACTAAAAATCAATCTCA